AGAAACAAAAGGTATAACCATTTTGCGTTCTTGTAAAAATTCATAAAATTGGGTTTTAAAAAGCTGTAATTGATTTTGGTCAAAAACTTTAAAATACCAATTTCTGAATTCTTTATATTGATCCTGTTGAAATTCAGTATTAATGGCAATTCTATCAGGGACAAAATCCATTAAAACTAATATTCATGAGGGTCATTGATGTCTGTAGGATCATCAAATTGATCCTTGACAGATTCATTCCCGATTCCCATTTCAGATGGAGTTGGGCTGAATTCAAGTCCAAATTGGCGACGAGACATACCTATTGGTGCTTTCTCGTAGACTCCTCTTGGAATTTGATTCTAAGATTACTGTATTCCTTTCAGCTTAAGTCGATTGGCACCAACCACTTCAGGGAGATCTTCCTTTCGGTAATCCGACGAGATCGAATGGCGAGAAGGAGGACATGAAACATGATAAGGAAGATGACTTCCTTTAAATGATGTAGATCTAGGTAGATCTATGGATTTTCTGAAATTCAGAAAAACATCACCATCTTGGTCCTGAATAACACAGTCTAAGCTATGATTAACAATTGGCTGTGCTGGAACGACATTAGAAATCGTCCAGTGTTCAGGAAATGTTATCTCACTCCAAGGAATCATCCTTTTTGTGGCAACATTTGATGTGTACATGTTGGTATCCCATAACGCTGTTACTCCTTTAGAATCTTTGCGTATGGCATTGGGACACATAGTATCAAGGACTTTGTAATGGATGCGATAAATAACACTTATCACTTCCGATCCAGGTAAGTAATCATACCCATAGGTCTGAACACGAAGACTAACTGCCTCATGGATGTTTTTATCTGTTAAAGATAAATTCAAACTAGGATAGACATTAAAATAAACCGGTCCATGACATAGACTGGTTTCCAGTACACCCATCAAAGAAGGGTGGAATTTCAGACATCGAGCATCCCTAAGGGTTGCCTGAATACAAGTATCCATACCTAACAAGGTTAAAGTTTTAAAAGCAATTTGAATTAAACCTATATGGATGTACTTATATTTATGTATGTGCCTCTGAAGGTCACGTGAAGATAATAACTTAATTATTGTATCCTTAGTGCTTAATTGCATGGTTTGTTCCATGGTTTTTACAGTCCATAAATCAGTTAAATTAAGCATTCCGATTTTGTAAATGCTCTTAGCACTTACTGGAGGAATAGTCCATCTGTTCAATTTATTTTGAACATTGGTCCATTCTACTAATTCAGTATTTTTTACCAATTCTGAATCTTGGTTGTCTTGTACTCCTGAAGAGGAGGAAGATGGTTTTAACATGGCTGCTAAATATTGTTAATGCTTAAAGGTCTGTATAGGATAAATATTAACATATTATGTAATGAACAGTAAGTTACTATTCTGTCGTCTTTCTGCTTAAGAGAGATTCTATTACTCGTCTGTCAACGTTTTACTGGAAACAATACTCTGTGCAGCAATTTAATGCAAAAGTGGGTTAAACATTCTAACGCGACTTTTGGACGACCCATAATGGAATCTGGGATAAGTACAAGTCGGACAGAATAGTAGTCGTATTGTTCATAACATAATTACAATAATAATCATGCTACCAGTACTTAAGAAGCATTAACAATGGAAAGTTAAGCCATCATGGCTCTGATACCAAATATTAGTAGGATCGATGTATGATTATGATAATTACAATTAATTACAATAAGAACTATGAATAATGTAAACAGACTTACAGAAAACCTTCTTTATTGAACTTCCAAGCTAGTACAGAGAAATATTACAAAAGAGAGAAAAGGAAAATGAAAGATACATTGAAGCCCTTTTTCAAATAATCCTTCTGAACTACACACCGCTTGCATTTGAGGACAAATCCATTAGAAAAAGATTATTTTATTCTTTTCTCATTAAATTTTTATTTTTAATTAAATTATTTTTATTATCTTTTTTCTTATTTAAATATTAATTATACCAGTTACCTTAATTCTATTATTAGTATCAATTTATCATAAAATGGGAAAAAAAAAGTTGGAACTATTATTTTTTAAAATGATTAACTTATTTTTAAAAGATTAGTATTTATAATAAATGATATTATACTTGGTTCAAATTTTTTTACTGTAAACAAAATACCTTCTTTTTTTATAGAATATATTTATAAAAAATTAATAAATTACTTACATACAAAGATCTTATTTTTCATGTAATATATTCATGAAAATTAAGAAATTACTTAAATTGTTTTAAAAAAATTGCTTGAAATTTTTATTTAAATAATTAATTTCAAGAATTAAAGATAAATTTATGCACATTTAATAGAGAATATGTATGAATTTTTTCATGAGTTTATTTTAATAATAAAAATAGATTGAGTGTAATTCAATAAGAACGAACATCATGATCAGTTAATGAAAAATAGCTCGTGTATAGGGGCATTTTGTAAAAAAATGTGATAGTTCAGGAGGTATTGTGCGCAAAATATATTTTATAGAAATTATTTACAATTTTAGATATAATTTTTAAAAATAAAAAAATTTAATTCAGTGAGGTGGCCCAGGGACGGGTTGGGGAATTTAAACAGGAACAGAGAGTACGCGCGGGTTGGAGATAAGGAAGAGGTCCTCCATGCTATTTCCATTCCCAGCATAGGTAAATTGATTAATGTAAACACTGAAAAGTCTTATATAATGTGATTTCTTTGCAAATACCGTGTGATAAAACCAAAAATTAAATAAATAAATAAATTTTAATAGACTACATTTGATTGTTGAGTGTCTCACGATTATGGACCCAACAATAATTGTTGCGACGTGAATTTTATATTTTGTGAGACACGAATTAATATGATTCGATTATAATCACAGTAATGTTCAAATATCATAAACATTTAAAATTACGTCTCTATGAGAAAATGAATCCACACACCAATAAACACAAAACTATCAAAATTGGACATTTGGTGAAAATGTATAATGGAGCCAATTCTTGTATCAATAACACTTATATGTAACTGTGATGGCGGCAGCTACTATTTACCTAATGTATGGTGTGTGTAGAGAGTAAACATTTAAGTTGGTTCAAATCAAGACTTCATAAAAATATTACTAATAAATTATTATTATTATTCTTATTTATTTTTCATCAGAGTAGGTGAGGTGGAGCAAATTAAAAGTAGTTTTCAAATTACACACCTTCCATCACGATACGAATTAATTTCAGTTTTGATATACATCATTGACTAAACCTCCCCCCCCCCCCCCCCCCCCCCAAAATGACAACCATCAAGAAAATAAAATTTTGATCATCTGATTATATGACTTTTCCTTGGTTTGACTGTTGGGCTGCTTACATTAATGTGAACATTAATACAGTCGTATCCTCAATTTAATGAGTTGATTTTATATATTACTCGTGCATGGGCGTGAATTTGATCATGCTTTCTAAATTGATAAATATGTTCAACTTGTCTAAACTACTTTGTTATATATATTGTAATTATTGCAAATTTTACAATATAAGACGTTATCTATTTTTAGTTATTTTTATTTTGTATATTAAAATCATACACTATTAGAGACAAGATAGACTATAAAACATTTTTTCTAATAAACCAACCCATTTGGAACCCTTCAGATCCAATATTTTTCCTATTCAAAGGTCGGCCACTCTTCCTTGTTCAATGTTCAGCCCTTTCTCATTGTGTTTTCACATTAGAATTATTTGTTTTCACATTAGAATTATTTGCGAATTAAAATATGGAACGTGGTTACGTGGGCATATAATTGGAAGTTTGATAATTCAACTAAGTGCAATTTGAGTATTATTAAAAACAATAAATGAAAATTTTAAGTGACAATGACTTTGCTATCACTGTTGAAAATTAAAAGGTAATTTTTAAGTTGAAAATTAAAAGGTAATTTTTAAGTTGAAAAACAAATGTATTAATGTTTTTTATAAGAAACTCATACTTATTTATCTTTGTAGAGACTAACCCTAGGACATTGAGGATATCTGTTACATGCGGAGATTTGTTCCACATTGGATCTTGATAGAAGAGTGATTGTGTATAAATGAATGGGTATACAGTATTTTAAGTCTTGTTAAATTGGCTAATGTGGTGTAATTTTAACCATAGATTTACTTAAAATGTCATGTGTCAGTGTGTAAGTGATTCAACTTATGATAATGTAGAGAACTTTTAACTTAGAGGATCCTCGTCCTTTAGTTGGTATCAGAGGTAGACTTAGTCTTTGATCCAATGTTATGCCAAGCACCCGGCCCAGAAGGTGTCTAGATGGGTCACCTGAGTAGGTAGGGTGGCTCAACCGCAACGAGGGTGTGACGAGTTTGAGTGGGGAAGAATGTTATAAGGGGAGATTTGTCCCGCATCGAATTCGGATGGGAGAGTGATTGGGAATAAATGAGTGAGTGTTGTTAAAACACTATTCAAATTTTGAGTAAATGGATATAAAAATTATAGATATACCAGTCAAGCTAGGTTATACATCTCAACCTGATCATTTGGAAGGGAAAAAAAAATGGGGATGAAAATCCTTGTTTCATTCTATCCATAACCCATCTAAACGGTAGAAAACATCAAGATTAATACTTCATATTATGATAAAACACTAAATCATTTCAAATATTAGTATTGGGAAGGCCATAAGAAAAAATCTGAAAAAAGAAATGGAAAGTAAACTCAAGTGTCAGATGAAAGTTTCAGAGGAAAAGGCTAACACATGCAACATTAAACATCTTACAAGATAAATGGACTTTTTCAGATCATTATCTACTTGCCATCTTCTCTGGGAGCCAAGCTTTGAACAAGACCAAAATGATCTATCCCAAATAAACAAATCTGCGCAATTCGCACCGTAACCTCTGTCAAGAGCACCAGATAAGAAAAAAGGAATGCAGCATATCAATCTGGTGTAGGAATGGAGTTTCCTCATCACTTCCCCCATGTTTGCTGATATCTTAACATGAGACCACGAAAAAAAAATGCATTTTCCGGTAAATTTTACGTTAAACACCATGTACAAACATGGTCAATCTGTATATACCATGCTGCATTATGAGCTATGTAGTACAAAGACACAGTACATCCAAAATTCACAGCAAGAAATAATAAATAGCTATTACTGTTGCAAAATCTAAATTTGTAGAGTCAAAAATATAGAAGTATACAAATTCACACAATCACAAGATATTTAGAGGCTAGCAGAGGATCTCAAACTGAGCATTTTAAAATAGGAATATCAGGAATCTGCTCCAAAAATCCAGAAAAATGTTGCCCTATCTCGATCACTCTTCACATGTGGCACCAAAAATTTCACTCACGACGATCAAGAATTATGCAACTGCAGTGGGGAAAACTCCACAGTCAACAGTGCATGATCAGAGAGAAAATAATAGTCAGGCCACATCCCGCTTTCAACCTCTGGAGGAAAGAGTGCAGCTTTACTGACATTGAAACCGATAGAAGTTGCAGAGGTGGGTTTGTTAAGCATTTGCTTTATACGCGTCTCATTTTCTTCACTGTCTTCTTTGATCTGTTGAAGGAAAGTCCATGGGTTCCATGCCCTCTTAAAAAATGGCCCAAAAGAAAATTTAGTCAATCGGCCTAATGGTTCTAAAACCAATAGACATTAACAAAATAAGTTCTACAAAAAATAATAAAAGGAAGATGAGACATACAGCAAAGTGCAATAAATTAATCACCCCATCTCCATTAGTGTCTATATGTTCCCATAAATCCTTTATGTCTTCATTACTCAGGCCACCTTGAGGGTGCCCTGATAAACCTACCTGACCAATAAAAAAATTAAAAAATATTAGCAGGTAGATTTTAAGTATCAAAATATGACATGAAAAAAATAATAAATAACTCACAATTCCAAAAATTCTTGAGACAAGAACTGGTGGATACCTCAGTAAGAGCTCTGGAGAACTGAGAGTAAGTTATGTAACTGCTGCCATCAGTCTCAAGAAAATGAGGTGAATAAACACCTTCAGTCGGTACTTTAACCAGTAGGTTCTATGGGACAATCACATTTAAACCAAAAAGAAAAAAGAAAAGGACAATTCATTATCCTTCTAAATAGATTAATGACCATATGAGGTCCAACACACATTTATTATTAAACGACTGAACGTACATGAATGTTTCCAAGAACTGCTTCTATGAAGCTTTCTTTTAGTGGTTTCCGACCTTTATTAGGATTAAGGAGCCAAATGAAATCCACCCCACAAATGTCCCCCCTGTGGTTACGATGACTAACCCACTGCAAAAGTAAAATTTTGATTTAGCATATTCAACTTAACCTGCTTAAGAACGCATAAACTGAGGACCAAACAACCTTAAAGGAGTTTTCATCGTTGTCTGTGTAACAATGAGCAGTATCATAGGATGAGATAAAACCTTGTGATCGCAGAAACTTATAAACATTCCCCTTCTTACTGCCATTCCAGTCTCTACAGAATGGTACCAAATTGTCAATCAGAACGAACTTGCTCTTCATTCTCCAAAAAAGAAAGTGCAAACACTCTGCCTCTTACAACTTACCCACATAGGATGATAGGGACAGGCGGAAGATGGTTTTCATGACAATATGACTCTATATACTGTAAAATCTTGTATACCTTTGAGAAAAAAAGGAAAAGCAAAGCAAGGTCATGAAGCTACAGAGGATAAAAAAGATTCTTAATTAGTAACAAGAATAGGGTCATTGGCCCAACTAGTATAACCTCTCCTCCCTCAAATGGGAGGTGACGGGTTTGTTCCCCATAATGGGTATTTGTGTGTGTGAGTGTGTGAGTATTTACCTAACCAAAAGAGAATAATGTAACAGGATCTTACATAATTAACAAGTAGTAACTGAAAACTATAACCTGTTTTAAGCGGAGGAAGCAATAACTGGAATCATGAGGAAAAATTAAATGAGTATTCACAACAATAGCTCCTTTCACGATATCAGCGGATTCGTTTTGCAAAGAAACAAGTAGTTCAACATGTAAAAGCTGGGCAACACGATCACCAATATCATTGAATTGGCATTCTCTGTAATTCAAAACACGAAAGTTGTTCTGGTGCACTGCTGTTAGCAGACCTATTACCAAGACATTTAGTAAAGGCTCAGAGCATGACTTAATATATAAATTAGTTCGGAGCATTCATTCAGAGTTATACAGCAAGGAGATAGTTTTTATACAACAAAATAATTTTTAGAAATCAAAGCAAGAAGCAGAATTCTTGCTTTGCAGTTTACCAAATTACAGATTAAAAAAAACAATTGCAGGAAACGATTTTACTATGACTCTATGAAGATCTCTGAGTTGCCGAAAGGTTAAGACTGAAAAATAGCACAAACTGCTCCAAGCTTCTCCAATCCCTATAAAATGCATACCATACTCCAAATACATTAAGAAATACCACTTTTCTTCTGCATCATAGCACAAGGCTACCAATAGGTACACAATACAGTGGCATATGAAAATATTTTGAATGTGTGAGTAAAAAATTAGTTCACCAATTCACTCCATAGAGGCAAAAGCTGTTATAAAATTTAAACCATAGAATTTGATTGCTTAGAATCTTATCACTTTTTTACTACCTATTGTAATTTTCCTTAATTGGCCTTGTCGTATTCAATTAGTTCCTCATAAGGACCAGCCACACTGTATTTTCCCAGGCTTAACCAACAAACAATGAGTTTCATGTCTTAGTTCGTCAACTTAAAACTAGTCACCCTTCAATTTTAATATCATAAATATAATATATTTACATATTTGTGTAGGAAGAAAAACAAATGACAACTTATCCAAAACAAAAAAATAAAAAAAAATAAAAAACATCACGATCTACAAATGTCGAAACCTGAGTGTGAAAGAAACAGTGTTTTCCTAGGGCTTTTGGAATTTCAAACTCAAAGTGGTAAGGGTTCATATCTTCACTGCTTCAAAGAATATATGAGATTGTAATGGAAGACTCATAACAATAGTGCTAGACATTTGGCTAGCTTTGGTACTTATCTCCCAAAATGATGTTGTAAATGAAAACATACAAGCCCCTAAAACTCAAAGGGACTGTTTCCATGTTCGGAAATTTGGGTTTGATAAGTAACAGAGGGTTAAAAAGAGGAACAGAAATAAACAATTTAGGCAAGCAGCAATCCTCCTGGTTGTAGTAATAAATTTGAAATTTGGGAGATACTCAATACAAGGACTAACTTGGACCATATTGTCTAATCAGGAAATGGCACAGGAAGGCTGGAAACCTATCATAAAGGAAAATTTTGGAGGGAATACCGAGAAGAATCAAATTGAAAAACTGAGGGGGAGAAAACTAACACATGGTAGGGAAAAAGGAAACAGAGTTAATCATTCTATAATTATATATATAATTTGGGAATTTCTCTAACAATTTGAAAGGCATTTTGCAAACTCATGAAGCAAAGAATTCTGCACAATAATGTCTGGGTTGTGGATGGTTCATTATATGGACCAACAGAATGTAGTAAATATTAATTCAGTAAAATAAACATATATAGAAACTAACCATCACCCCTGTTATTTGTTCGAGCAAGTCTGTAAGTCACATAACCGGCATCCTTGAGTCCATTCTCATACATTCTCACAAGTTCTTCATTCCTCACCCAAAATTCCTGAACCAAAGGATTAAGATATACAAATATATTTCATACGAGTAATATAACACTCAAAACAAGAGTCACCTTCTAGTCAACTATATACGAATGATCAGATTCAAAAACAGTAAAATCCACATACCTGCAAACATATAATAGAGGATTTCACATCAAGAAGTCTATCCAATATGCTCTGATTTCGGCTAAGCCAAAGTTCACGACATTCACTCTCACAATTCTGATAAATTCAATTGCAGTTACAACAAATCGTTATACCATTCAATATAAAACATGAGAATTCATATAGGTGGAACTAAAAGAACTTAAGACATACCTCGCCATTCAAACGCTTGTAAATTGGTGCAAGTATATTGAAAGTAGTGCATGAAACACACCCGAAGGATTCCAAACTATCAGGGTGCTGTCCTTGTTCACAAAATTCTTGATTTAGTTCACCCATTGATTCACAAGTGCACTGAAGATAAAAAAAAAAAAAAAAAATCAAATAAAATGATAATTTCTCAGAGAACTTTCATCAAACATATAACAGAAGTGTCCTATATCTGAGAATGCAGGAACAATTATAACAAAGTTGTGGGTATCAAATTCATTGGGAAAAAACTAAAAAAATAAAGTAAAGGGTTGTGGGTATAAAAGAAAACAGTTTAATTGGATTTAAATGATATAAGACGATTTAACAACCGATAAATTGGCAACGATTTAAAATAGTGATGTAGCGATCCTAACCTCTTGAAGAAGAAACAAATTCATCAGAGATATAAATGGACCAAGAAAAGTAAACAACTTGCAAATTTCAGACAGTACGGAAAATATAAATGGTAAGACGCGGTATGGGATGGACCGTTGGAGTTGGAGACAAACGCTTATATATATATATATATATATATATATATATATATATATGAAAATTCTAGAATATAGTAAATGAATTTATGCGAATGCCTTTATGAACTGGAATTCTGGAAATAACCGTTTTTAACTGAAATTTCAAGTTTGAAATTGTTATAACATAACAACAATAAATAAATAAGAAAAGAAGTACGAGGTCAAAAAGTTGTTGAGAGTGGAACTTACAAGTGAACTTTTATCATTCTCCGAATCCGATACCATATCAATATCAACTTTTCAAACCCATCGAACTCTAAATTCTTTCGTATCATTCAAACACCTTGTTCGGTTCTTCCAACTTTTTCTTTGGTTTTGTTTTGTTTTGTTTTTTGTTTTTTTTTTTTCTCAGAAGAAGGAAATATTTGATACACATAAAACTGATTTTTTTTTTTTTGGAAAAAATGACGACCAAGTCTTACGTTTTTTCCATTAAAAAAGACAAGTTTAAGACAAGAATTTATTTATTTATTTATTTTTTTGACAAAGTACTCATGCAGGAAATATATTTGGTGTGCTTGCTCACCACGTACTTAGCCATCATAGCCTTTTATATATGTTACCGTGTCTTCACTCATACAATACGAACAATTAAAGTGGACGATACACCGGACACACCAAATGCATGATCCTCTTCGAGAATAAGAGTATAACTACCACCAGAGTACAAATAATTGAGTAACTATTCACCATTGTTAAGACTTTCAATTTAGAAAACACATTTCAATTTAATTTAGATAATTAGATTCTATTACTTTTGTTGGTAACAAATGATTTTAAGAAATTTTTGCTTATTAGACCTTTTAGCCAACTTAAAATTTGGATTTTTTTGTAAGTAGAAGTGAAAAATCTATTTATGAAATGTGATTTACTTATTACGTTGTAAATATTTTTCTCATAAGTTAGATTTTTCTACAACATAATACACAAATTAATTGATTTGGAACCCATTTGAAAATCGTTTGTGTTTTGCAATTTAAAATTTATACGAAGCAGTAACAATTTTTTGTTATGTTGTTTTTTATTCCAAAAACATAACTATATTTGTTTCACTATGTTTCAAAGCAAACAAGAAAAATTTAGAAAATAAAATTGTGTATGGTTGTAGAAAAATAGTTAAAAAAATTTCTACAATTTTTTTTTTTTTTCAAAATGTGAATACCAACCAAGAAAAAAATAAAAAAAATGAAAAAATGAATAGCAAAATCAGCAATTTTACTAACGTGACTATCCACTTTATTTGAATATTCAAGCATTTATATTTTGTAAGGTATATTTGTGGCGGACCATGACCCACCTAAATAAGAGGGGGCCTATTGCACCCCGTGACCAGGAAATGGTTTTGCGATGGAGTGGACACAAATCAAAGTTGGGCGATGCCTCCACGTTTCGCAACCCAACAGAAATTGATATGCCTCATCATCTCATTTTGTTGATCCAACACTTCCCATTTTCCAATTAATGGTATTAACACGCCATCTTCAATCTTTTTCTGGTTTATAAGGAAGGAAAGAATATTTTTTATGCCTTGCTTCAATTTTAAGCCAATCAAAAAGGTGTTACATTTGTACGACTGACTTTCTTAGTAATAAAATAAAAATAAAAAGGACAAATTACACCGACTTTATCCGCGAGAAAGATAAAGAAAAGAATAAAGATTTGAGTGATGAAAGTTGTAGTTTTATCAATTTCTGCTCACATATATAATATATTTATTTTTATTATCTTTACACACATTAAGCGACTTTTGAAACAAATATTTGGCTGAATTAAGCAAATTTTGATTGACCATTAACTGAAGTGAAAATGTAAACCTTTTATATCAATTAATTGCATAAGAGGTCAACATAATGTATCCAAAAAAAAACTATTAACATGTGAAATTCTGATATCAGATTGCTTTTATCGAGAATTACAATCAAATTACCTCTCGAGTTTGAGTCCCAAATGAGACATTTATGGAAAAAAAAGAAAAGAAAAGAAAAAGAAGTGTGACATTTATGGTGTGTGTGAGGATTTACCGAATTATATATATATAAGTTGGACTTGAAGAAAGGGAATTACTTTATTTTTCATGGAACATTTGTATGCATTATTCAAGGAGGAAAACAGCAATTCTGCTCCAACTCAAACCAAAATATGCTGCAATTACAATATCTCCTGTTTCTAATTTTATGTTTCTTAATTTTTCAAAGCATCTCCCTTTGCCATCTGCCTCTAATACCATATTCCGAAAATTACAATTTATTATCTTAACACAAAATATGCTCTGAGAAAGAATTTAACCATCGGTCATCATTAACTGAATATATTGTAACATTGGCATAAAGAATGGTTACAATTAACACGAATCAATGTAAACTTTACAAGTAATAGAGCTTCGAATACAAACTTTAGTAGATAAACAAAGGTAAGTGATTTCACATACCGTAACCATTCATCAGAGACTTTTATGTCTCCCGCTTAGTCCTCCGGGGTCTGCTGCCGCTCAAGCTCGATGACATTTTCTTTCAACGAGCTTACAGTGTCATTCGTTGTTTCATTATTGGTCCTGCAAAGTAGCAATTGTTTCTGAAGGCTTCGCACCAGCTCGCTGAGTCTCTGAATGTTCTGCTCTTGTGATAAGATAATCTGCTCAAGTAACATATCTCGTTTTAAAATAGGAATTCTTGAAAGTGTACACAAGACTACATGAACACACAAGCCACATTCAAGTTAGAGCTGTTCCCTCACTCCCTAGTGGTGCAAGAAACATTTGTTACAATAGCATACAACCAAGTTCAAACCTGCACAGTTATATCAGTTCGCCTACGACCGGATCTCTCAAGATAAAACTTTTTGGATTACCCTACGCATGATGTGGTTTGCAGGTGATAAATGTGCATTTGAAAATAGAATTTTCCCAGAGTAACCACACACACACACACACACACAAATAATAAATATAATAAATAAATTTATTACAAAGTTACATTTGAAAATACTTGAATGTTAAACTTAGATCAGATTCCAGCATAATTTTATTTGCTGCAACTAGTGGGGAGCATGATATCGTATTTACTGAATGGCTGATTATATCCAGATATGCCTGACACATTCCTATCTTTGTCCCACTATGCGACTGTACCTATGGCATACTGACACAAGCCTTGTATGATGCTTGAGAATGTCATAAATATATCCCAACAGATGCTGTTTGATTATTTTTTGCAGAACTTTATGCATGATTCTTCAAACCGTCATTAGTCATTACAACAACTTACGCATGATTCTGCAAACTGTCACTAAAACCACGTACAATGACTAATAAACCATTCAATACCACAATTCTTTGTGCACTGAAACTGCAGTGTCCTCTACAGTGGCCAGCTCTCCCAATTCTTTGTACAACCAAATAACATTATAGGACCATGGTCATAATATTGTTTCTTCAACAAAGAATACTTGTATTCTGATGACAAACTAATGAAATGCAAAATTAGAGGTAGCCACCACTAGAACAACTCCAAATAATAGAAAGTAAATCATGGTTTAGCCACCTATCCCTTTGACCACAATTTTGTTTTGTACCAATTGTTGCAAAAGAATTTTGTTTTCCAGAAAATTGAGGTGTCTGCAATATTAAAATTCCATAGGCATATAATACTTAAAAAGGAAAAATCACTAAAAAAAAATTCAGTGGGGGCAATTGCCCCCACTGACCATATAAGTAGGTCCGTACCTGGTCAAGACACTGCTGCTAGAAATAAGTTCTTACCAATAAATGCAAAAAGACTACACAAACTTTAGTGTTCTTACGAAATTTCAAATAATAATAATAATAATAATAAATCTGCTGTTACATCTACATAAATCAGCCTGTATACGGAGTAACCAGCCAAAATATAATGATTGTATTTATAATGATTGCACCAATAAGAGCCTGCATAAGCTGCATTCTGTTGTTTGAAAAATGACTGTCCTTCACTGTATGACCTGGCACATGATCACTCGACCACTAGGCAATTGCGCTTATGGGTCAATTTTCAGTTATTTGAGTATTAATGCAGTGTAGTGTTACATTGTTAGACAAATTTTAGCATCTACAGAAGCCCTAACCCACAACAAAGAGAAGGCTGAAACTCATATAAGGGCCAGAACAACACCTGACTAGAAAGTATAGAACTTTAAAAGAATACGTGCCTGCAGCTAATAGAGCCACTTGCTTCCAACTTTGAAGCCCTCTTTCATTAGCTCAACCTTGTAGCCTCAATCTAAATATTAGGAAATAAGTGATTTGTATCTCACATCTATAAGGTTCAAAATTAGTATGAACAACTTTTACATTGGCATTGAAAAGAAAAGAAAAACTAAAATTCAACCTATTCACTAAATGGAAAATATCATAATCTGTAATGGATCAAATTATATCATCCCCTATCATTTATTTTCTGGTTCAATTTATTGTTTTGAAATTCAACACTAAGCATAGATGCTCAACTCAGAAATTCCTGAACTAAATTTTTTAAGGCCAAACAGATACTTCCATTAATCTTAAGCCACATATTCTGTTAAATTTAAAGTTATCACAATTCAGAAACAAAACTGACCTGTAGCAAGGAGTTTTCATAACAAGATGTCCAATTAAAATATGAAACTAAGCTTTTAGCCTTATAAAAAATGGGGATGAATTTTCCTTTATAATAGAAAAACAAAAGACATTATAAAGTGTTTATTTCATCCATATTTATAAATAAGAAAAATTAAAAATAGTTTTGGACCCACCAATGCTGATGCCAAGCATGTGAAGGAGGGCCATATCAGGAATTATAGGAGACTAAATAATCAACTCTTTTTTTTTTTTTTTCATTTTATTATTTTTTTTAATTTGAGTCTCATTTTGTGTTTTACATACTCTAGCTTTGTATTATAAAAATAATTTTACTTATTTATTTATTTTTGGTAAGTCACAGTTTCATTTATCTCATTTATGCTTAAGATTCAATACATTCATACTTCTTAGTACTTTGGTAATTTCCAAAAAGAGTCCCATTCTACTAAGGAAGGATAAATCCATCAGCCTATATATATGTGGAAGCTCTCATTCCATAGAATTGACTATTGAAAAACTGAGAGAAGCTTTAGAAGTTTTAATTGATTTTGTGATGCAAAGCTAACTGCACCAACCCTAGGGGCTTGGCTCAGTGGCAAGGTCACTTGGCCCTGCTGCCTCATGAAGCATCGGGTTTGAGGTTCGACTCCCACTGAGTGCAAACAATTCCTTGGGGCCATGCCTTCGCAGCTATACTCCGCAACTTATCCGGCCCAGGGGAGGCGTCCTTCCTGGGTCCCTTGGGGATTAGTCGGGGCAAAGCCAATACCCCTGGTTAATCAAAAAAAAAAAAAAAAAAAAACTAACTGCACCAGGAGGAAGGTTTAGAGCTATAGGATTCTGCTCCTCACATTTTTCTTCTTATTCTCTTAGCTTTTTGCAGCTTCTATTCAACTCCAACCAAAACCTACTAATCAACTTTGTTGCCAAACCCACAAAATACAAAAGCAAAGCTTACTGTGCACCTAAATTCCATAACCTAAATCCATAACCCTAATCATTTCCTTTGTCGTTTTAGTCTTTTATTTAGCAGACATCCTTAAAATTGCTGCTGTTCAGAATTCCAAGCAATTTGTTTTTGTAAAAGCATGTAATATATCACCTAAAAAGCCAAACAAATTTTCGACCCCCTTTATAATGTACAAAGCCAACAACATTTCCTTAAACTTTAAAAATTTAAACCTATAAGATTTTAATAACTCTTGTACACCATAATACCAAACAGAATCAAGTTTCACATAATTTGCAGTTTTGGTTTAAAAGATAAGAATTTCTAAGGACCAAAGGGTCAGACTTGATGATAGGTTAGTTAAACACTTTCTGGAAGCCTTTAGGTAATAATTCTTTTCTTTTTTTGATAATCCAAAAGTATTATAATTGTAAAAGAATATATCTTAAATTACCCTGAAACTGGAAAACGGAGAGCTTCCCGGTTTCGGAGCATGACAGACATTGTTTTAATGACGGTGCAATTTATCACAAGAAAAACAAAGGAACAGAATAATGCCAAATGGAGTTGAAGCTTCTTTAGAGACTGGTAGCACAACTATAACAATACTTCATCGTTATTTATTCTAACAAAAGTTAGTCCATCATACTCTAATGTTAGCATTTTTGTCATAAAATTCCGGTCTGTATAAGAAGGCACAACTTCAGGATTCTAGGTAGTAATTAGTAATTTGAACATTAGCAAAACAACAATCATGTTATTTGAGAATTCACTCAAGTTTTGTCCAATTATGGGACAAACTCTTCAAATCTCACTGCTGCATTTTACATTTCAAAATTATCCTAATCCATTTTTGAGCAAAAATACAATCCATTTTATAATTAAAAAAAGAAAAAGAAAAAAAAAAGATAGGAAGAACATTCATTACCTTCTCTTTCACCTCTTCTTTACTCTTAGAAATTTGTTGCTGCTTATGAGATAAACTCGGACTCGCGTCAATATCACTCACAAGTGGTTGCTTCCATTCAAATTGAGAGGTAATTATAAGTATAATCAACAGAAAAGCAAGCACCATTGGTCTCGGCATAGTTACAATCCCCTCTCACAACATCTGCCAAATATAATTATAACAAATCACATTCATTAAAACTGGAAACATGGTAAAATACAATAATAGTCAATTAGAACCCTAAAAACACTGAAAACAAGGGGTTTGAATCATAAAACACCAAATTCTCTGTTTGTTTGTCAGATAGTGAAATTTTTTAACATTCGGCTATATTTGAGGCGAAATTTAAATGCTTTACCACAAAAATGACATGAAAACATCAGAATCAATGCGCTGTTTTTTTCTTTTATTATCCTCCTCAATTTTCTGGGCAACCAAACGGAGGGAGAATTCAGGAGAACTTACAGATCGAAGCTCGACATCAACAGCATCTCCCATGAACCACACACGATCAAGATCCCCGAGCGAGCCCTTCTTTGTGTCGACTCAGTTACAGTGTCGAATCATGGATTGTTGAAAAAGGAATGTTTTTAATGAAGTTGACTAATTTTGTGTCGGTAAAGATAAAAGAGATTTTGGCTCAATAAACTAATTAGACTGAAAGTTTCTAAACTATCTTTATTCTTAAAGTGTGAGTTCGAATCTAGTCACAGACATCATACATGTTATGAACAGTAGGTAGGTATGTTTACATTTAAAAAATATAAAATAAAGTTTTCTTTCAACCTACTACTAAACTATTTACCGATAATAAATAGAGTGGAAATTTACTTCTGTATTTTTTTATTTAGATACTACTAAATATAAATGAGAAAATTGTTTTCCAAAAGTACTTTCCACATGTCACAATTGTGTAAAAAAAAATAAGAAATCTTTCTCATAGATAAATTATACATGTAGAGTAATATGAAATATTACTGGAATGATACATGTAAGAATGTGTCAACATACCATTTGAACAATTTTACTTTTATAATAAATTAATAAAAACAATATACATTTTTTTGTTGGATAAATATTTAAACACACTCAAATATTCACTGGAATTCTTCACTTTTCTTTCAAAGGAGGTGTATACTAGCTAGATTAATGACCAAGTATAAATAATTTATTTATTTTTTTAAACATTTTTTTTTTATATATATTTTAAAGGGTTAAGTACAATAAAACCTCTCATAACATACAAAATGTGCAATTACTCCATATTGTTCGAAAAACTATCCTATATTTTTTAATTTGTGCAAATAAGAACAAATAATAATTTTGGTGACAAAATTAATAAATTAACCTTACTTTATCATTAGAAAAAAAAAAAAAAAAAAAACAAAAGTCAAAATATCAAAATTACTCTTAAATTCATAACATAACAATATTTGGTATCCAATTCCTTACACCCAAGACCAAACACATTCAAAACAATTATAACATACCCAAAGCCTAGACCTGACCAAGTATAAATAATTTTTTTTTTTTTTAAACATTTTTTTATTATTATTTTATATATTTTAAAGGGTTAAGTACAATAAAATCTCCCATAACATACAAAATGTGCAATTACTCCGTGTTGTTCAAAAAACTACCCTACATTTTTTAATTTGTACAAATAAGGACAAATAAATTAACCTTACTTTATCATTAGACAAAAAAAAAAAAAAAAAAAACAAAAAAAACAAAACAACGAAGAAGAAGAAGTCCAAATATCAAAATTACTCTTAAATTCATAACTTAACAATATTTGATATCCTTGAATTCCTTACACCCAAGACCAAACACACTCAAAACAATTATAACATACCCAAAGCCTAGACCCCACCGAACGATCGAGGGAGTATTGATCTGTGACAAATCATGATCAATACAAGTATAGCTATACTTGTATTTGTTTGGTATTGGCAAGGAACCTGCAAAAGTGCTTTGTGATAATGCGAGTAATGTGTCTATGTTTCTTTCCATTGCTACTTCAGTATGGTTGCTACATCCTTCGCTAGAGGGATTAGTGTTTTTTTTATCTAAATTTTTTTTAAGGGTATTGTAAAATTTGACATATAATTGGTAAACATGTAGTCTGAGACACAAATACAATTGTTCATGGGCTTTGGTTTATACAATTGTTCTTGATTGGAGGAAAAAAAAAAAAAAAAATACACAGCTAAATCAGAGAGAAAAAATTGAGAGAGATATACTCTTGGCAACTGTAGAGAGAAATTTTAAAAAGAGAAAAAAAATGCAACAGAGAGATATTTTAGAGAGAAAGATTTCATAGTGTTTAAATATATACAAAATTGATAGGGGCATTTTGTCACACAAAAAGAATACTTTTGTGTTTTGATAAAAAAAATAACATCACCAAGGATATTTTTCATTGAATCTATTCAATAGGGGGCAGTTTGTTCAAAAAAATGTATAATACAAAGAGTTATATACACTTTTTTTTTAGTAAGGATGCTTTTTGCACATTTTTTATATAGGGAAGGTTTTTTTTTTTTTTTTGCCCTTAACCGTATTTTAAATTCAAAATGGATACATGACATTTTATTATTGTGCCACATCAATATCACAAGTAAGTTGCTACTCACTTCCAACATGCCAGTGGCCTAGTAATCTCATACTCCAACTTTGCAAAGAAAGGTCTAGCCTCAGTGAAGGCATGCGTGTAAAACTAAGAAGAAAAAAAAAGTTGCTACTCACTAGTGAGTAGCAAGGTAACGAAAGTGGATTGATTCTGTATTCTATTATTTGGTAATGCTCTATGCAACGATTTTTGTTTTGGATAAATTGTTTTGTATTCTATTAACTGAAAATTTTGGAAGAATTTTCGTATAGAGATAGTGGCCGGGAATTTCCTTATGTGGGGGTAATCTTTAATAGCAATAATATATATATATATATATATATATATATATATATATCCAAAACAAAAATCGTTGCATAGAGCATTACCAAATAATAGAATACAGAATCAATCCACTTTCGTTACCTTGCTACTCACTAGTGAGTAGCAACTTTTTTTTTCTTCTTAGTTTTACACGCATGCCTTCACTGAGGCTAGACCTTTCTTTGCAAAGTTGGAGTATGAGATCACTAGGCCACTGGCATGTTGGTATATATATATATATATATATATATATATATATATATATATATATATATATATATATATATTATATAATATAATATAATTTGAACCAAAACAATATATGTAAAAATTAAAACATTTATTCATTGTTGTTTCAAAATTGAGTTCATTTAATTAAATATACTAAAAAAAAAATCATATTCAATAAATCAAGAATAAGATATGAAAAAAAAAAATAACACAGTTACTTAAATCTAATTGTTTTAATATATCACTTACGTAAAAAATATAAAAATAAAATTCCATGATAACCAATTTCATTCCAAAAAAGTTCCATAGTAACAAACATTCTTAATAACTACTATGTCAGATTGTTAATCTACTCATAAAAAAAATTCATTCATATTAAAAATTAAAAAAATAAAATAAAAAGCAAGATATGAATATAACTAATCTTATAAGTTATAACCAGATAATCCAATCAATCGAAAAATTTGATATATCAATAAGTAAATTTGTGATTTCATTTATTTGGGTTGCAAATAGAAAAAAAAAAATTTCTAAGTCTTATTTAGAGAATAATAATTAGTAACACAATTGCACAAACTAAATTTTGAAAGAACAAGCCCTAAAATAATTTTGATAATAATAACTAAGAATTTTTTTAATTAAAATTATAATATCAAATAACAATCATAAATTTAGATGATTAAAAAAAAATCAAATTATTTGCGGCATGACTGACTGAGTCTTTGTCTATTGGTAAATGGTTGCAACGTTTGTTTTATTTGGATTGTGAATTTGTGAAATGTTGAAAACTCGCAGAAGGGAAAATGTTGAAGACTGAAAATGTGATGGAAACCATCCATTTGTTTGTGGTAAAGTCAAAAATGTGAAAGACTATCTTGATGGAATACCCTTTTCTTTTTTTTTTTTGCAAAAGTGGAAAAGAATATAATATTTTAAGAAAGTGAAAAAAACATCATATTTTGTAGATAAGTCATAAATTGATTGATATATTATATATATTTACAATTGTGTCATGATTGTATTCCTTTGTTTTGTCTTTTTTATTTTATTTTATATTTTGTGTAAAACCTTGAATGGACTTTTGGTTATATATATATATATATATATATATATATATATATATATATATATTGTTGGCACAAAGCCTTTAACCAAGGACAATCTAGTGTTTTTGATGATCACAAACCATTAATGGTGTTAGTGGACTAATATTTACATTGAGTATTATAGATAAGTCATATTCCAAGAATGACCTCAATGAAACAATAAAGATCACATCCATGGAAAGAAATGAATGCAAAGAGACATGAAGTTGCAAGGAACCAAATGCAAGTCCATCCAAAAATAGCTTGGGCTACAATGAACAATCAAGCAACTCAGAGAAATAAAGAAAGCAAGAATACCTCAAAGCCTAAACAATCATGGACAAAGCATGAAGAAAGAGGTAGATAGTATGGTGAATGTTTAGAATTTAATATCAAAGTATTATGAATTCATTTGAAGCTCATTTCTATAGGACCATGTATATCATATCATCATTCATATGTTCCTATATCAATTAGCAATAAATTATGAACTTCATTCGTATATAATTGACATATGAAATATTTTGTTAGAGAATAAGTTAGTTGAAGGTTGATTAAGTTTTAAAATGACCCATCACTTGTGCTAAAATGTTAGGATCATGCGCATCAATCACATAGTTTATATTGGTCACTAGAATGTAAAGGTTAAGTCATATAAAACCTTTATTACCATAACTTGGTAACGGACATTAGGACTTGTGAATGCGCCTCAAGAAAAAAACTATTTTTTTGGCAGTGTAAAAAATGAATTTTTGAAATAAATATATTTTCAAAATAATTTTTCACAGTAATTACTCCTTACACTTCAAATAGCCTAAACTGATTTTATGAGATTTTTTCATCATTTCTACATTGGCCTACATGGAGGATCAAGTTTTACAAAAACTGTTAGAAACCCCAATTTGTACTAAAATTGAATTTTCACATTTTGATTTAGTTGGATTTCAATTTTCTTATATTTTTTATTGAATCCAAATAGGGGGAGGGGGGGGGGGGGGTACTTCTTTATTTACGTTGTAAACTTAAAGTAAATGGACATATAAATACTATAAAAATATTTATTTAAATGTTTTCAATGAAATGGCACCATTTTGTCGATCAGATGGCCAAAACAAAAAAAATCATTTTTTCATTCTGTCATCTAACCTACTAAATGAGCCATGTACTTGCACAGATCAGTCCATGTTCTCGATTACATCGCCTTATGTAGTTGATCAGATGCTCAAAAAAGTGAGCACACTACACTCTTGGATTGCATTTCACCATGTAACCGACTACATCATACATGTAATCGATCAAATAAGATCTAGATCTAATGTACTCGATTAGATTACTAATGTAATCGATTAGATGGTCTGCTAAAAGTATCCCAATAGAAACTTCATGGGAACTTACCATATTACCCCCCTAACGGCTATATTTTTCAAAGGGGTTATAAATACACAATGTTTGAACATTGTGGGTATGCATTGGAGAGACATAGAGAAGCCTTCTTGAGTATCAAAGAACTTTTGTTCTGTATCTTCTTCATCCTTTCATACATATCATTCATAGATTATTGAGTTTCTTTTGTATTCATTTATACTCTAGTTGTGAACTTTGATTTGCATATTAATCTTTGAGAGATATATTCTTGTGCAACAAATTTCTATTTACAATCAATTGTAAGGATTAGTGTGATCCAGCAGAAGTCTAAGAGAGGATTGTTCTTTTAACAAGAAGAATTAGTTTTTTATACCGGTTTGCTCTCCACCCGTAAGGAGGTGCCATAGTGGGATTGGGAAAGTCTCAAGAGGGATCTTGAGCTAAGGAGTAGGAGTTACCGAACCTCGCTAAATCGTTGTGTTAAGTGTTTGCATTTATCTTCCCTTTTCTCTTTTACAATTATGCTATTAATTGATTGAGTTTATTTCCTGATTATTGCATAATTGTTATAAGGTGTTTATTAGATTTTGCAAAATAATTAAAACCAAAAATTGGCCATTGTTTGCCATAGACTCTATTCGCCCCCCTTTAGAGTCAATACTTGGGCAACATATATATTTATATATATTGTCAAATTTTAGAAGAGACAATTATACAAATATAAAATCTTTCATATAAATTTTTTTTTAAAAAAAATCTAAAAGTTCAATGGGGGCAGTTGCCCCCATTTGTCCCTCTGTGGCTACGCCACTGTATAGAGAGGATCAATAGAGTGTAAGGTGGCCTTCTTTATTCGAATCAATTTGACATGACACGGAAAAAATCACACAAAAACATTGGCAATAAAGTCTCACAAATCTTTTAGACTCCACAATTTTAAGGCTGCATATACATGACTTTTCAGACCTCGTAACAATAGGAGTCACGTGCATTAAGCTAGCTTTTACATTCCTTCCAAATGTTTTATGATTCAACCAACCTAGAGAGTTAATTTTGGCTAGCAAAATTGTCAAAACACAAGCCTATATATAACAAATAAAATAATAATAATATTAATAATCTTATTTAGTATCAATGTGGTCGGCTTTAAAAAAAAATAATAATTAATTAATAATAGGACGAGCTTTATTCATTGAACATTGAAAGAGCTTGATTTACAACAGTAAAACCTCCATCAATGATCAAATTGTGGCCACTCACGTACTTGGACTCATCACTTGCTAAATACAGAATAGCTCTGGCTACATCCTCCGGCTTGAGAGAGACCCCTTTGGCGTTTGCATATATATTTTTGAATGATTCATCGTCAATATTTTTCATTATCATTTCCGTTAGAACAACATAAGGTGATACACAATTAACACGAATGCCAAACTTTCCTAATTCGACCGCGGTGTTCTTGGTGAGCCCAAACAATGCATGCTTGGAACATGTATAATCATGTGTAGAAACCCCTCCAATTACAGAACAAATGCTAGCCGTGTTGATTATGGTTCCACGACCGGCTGGTATCATCACACGAGCTGCGTGTTTGGTGCCCAAAAATGCACCTACTACGTTTGTACGAAGAACTTTCTCAAATACAGTCTTGTCATTGTCAAGAATGTTGGGTTTTATACTTCCTACGATGCCTGCATTGTTGAACATTATGTCAAGCTTGCCATGCTTTGCAACAGACTTGTCAATGGCATTTTTGACATCTATTTCATTTGTAACATCACAATGGATGAATGAGGCATGAGTTGGACCTAAGTCTCTGCAAACGGAATAGCCAAGATCGTCTTGGATGTCGGCGATCATGACTTTGGCGCCGTGTTGACAGAATACCTTGGCTGTGTAGCATCCAATGCCGCTAGACCCACCTGTGATCAGTGCCAGCTTTCCTTCCAATCTGTGGTGTTCAAGATTCATTCATTACAAAAGCAGTAAGTAAGCATTAGGATATTTTAATGGCCACTAACCCCAAGCCCGTTAAATATTTCAACTTGGCCTTTCTAATCTGGTTGAAACATTAATAATTCACATATATGAATATCTACACATATCAAGAGCTATACTGCTAATAAAAATACATCAATCTAGAAAGTATGGACACTTCACTTAGGAGCAAAATACACGGACACGACTCGAACATGTGTCTGACATGGCTAGGACACGACATGAATATAGCAAGAACACATTTTTTACACTTTTATGACATGGTGGGGTGGTTTTGTAATTATTTATTTTTAAAAAATGAGATTCAATACAATTTTAAATAATTTTTTATGAGTTAATTAAAAGAAAACAAAAATAACAAACATCTATGTCTAAGTTCTAAATTAGTATTTTCATTCATGATTGTATAGATAAAATGAGTAAAAATTATATATATATTACTTTTTATGTAGCATGTCCATCAGTATTATATACAAATTTTTAGATCCGAGTCATTTGACGTATCGCCATATATGTATGTATTCTAATCAATGTTAGTGTCCGTGTCATATATAATTTTTTATGTAGCATGTCCATCGGTATTATATATATATTTTTAGATCTGAATCATTTGACGTATCATCATATATATATGTATTCTAATCAGCATTAGTGTCCGTGTCCTCGCTTTCATATATATATATATATTTTAGTTAAAGCCTTGCTTTCATATATTACAACTAAAAACTTATAAGATTACAAGTACATAGAGCTCGTTTGGCCCCTAAACATAAGTTTCTGGTCCGCCCCATATACCCAATATTATATTGTTATTTTAACCTCTTAGGTTCGTATTGTCAATAAAGTGGTGGAAAAAAGAGTGTGTATGGTAAATAAATCAATACTACGTAAATAAATAAATAAATAAATTTATATATATATATAGATGTATATAAATTAATTTTAATGTTTTTGTCACAAGATTAGAGGATCTGATGACCATACCTTCTTGCGGCATTTGATAAGATTGGGAGACTAGCCATGGTTGGAGAATTTGCAGAAGTGGAAAAACAATATTGCCACGGAACTTGACCAAGCTATTAAGATCTTAACCAGGTTATGATTTATCTAAGGAAATATCAACCAGTTTTTTTTTTTTGAATGGTAGATATCAACCAGTTTCATAAGCATTAAAACCAACTCTAACCATTGGGCTGCTTTTCCGGTTTTCCCCACTTATGAAGGACAAGATAGAGCTCACTTTGATTAATACACCAACCCATATATATATATAATTTATAGAGGTCTTCAAAACCAAGTACCAACCACTACTGGTCAGCTTTTGTAGGGGTTAGATGGAAGTCTTTCCACGGCACTGAAATTTCATCATGTCTGCTAAGTAAACAAAGAAGTAAGAGCCACGTGCTTGTAAAGTTTTGCAAGATCAGAAGAAAATCTTTCCAACACGCAAATTGCATAAAATTACTGCACTTTGTCATTAAAATTAATTAGGGCCGCGGGTAATAAATATTCATATAAAATGCATATAGGGTATATAATGCCTAATTCTTAAAAGTTTACAATTTTTACTTTTGGTACCAAAAAGGACATGTTGTGAGTAAAGTAATTAAAAGATTAAACTGTCCTTATGTAATTGAAAAAAAGGGTAAAAAAATTAAGTAAATGTAAAAAGACTGAAGTACCCTTATTGGTTTGTAAAAAGAGAGAGAAATGTGATTTATAAAATGATAAATTACACTGACACCCCTTCAGCTAAGGTCAAACTTCACTTAAATGAACATTTTATTTTAACTTTCACTCATATTTGAAAATTCATATTTCACTTACACCCCAAATCTCATTTTTTAGCGACGTTAGAATATTTTTTAGGTGTAAAATAATTATAGTGTCCTTTTGACTTTGTTTCATATGTAAAATGACTTAAGTACCTATGAGATTTATTTTAAATTATCAAAATATTCTAAAGTTTAATCCCTTCTTTCACTAAATGTGTATGTATACATTATATATATATATATATATTATTATATTATACACATATATTTTTTATTTATATATACATACACATAGTTGACCAATTGAAACCCCCAGTCACCATAATCCAGTATAGCAGCGGCGCCGAAGGTTACTACGGCTATACTCGAACAACACCACACTTCTATCGCAAACAACTACATAAATCCGACCCAACTTAATTTAATCACCATATTTTAACAAACACTCAATTGCAAATCCGACCCAACAGTTGTAAACATCAAAAGCCAACAACTACATCCATCAATTTCACCGGAATATGCCATTATCAAAATCTGCTCAAGTTATAATCATTGCCAGAATCGCAAACCCTATCGTCTCCTACGCCCCAAAATCACAAACCCCATCAGCTTTCTCCTAGGTTACTAACAGTCGATTACGGCAGCGGCGACGCAATCCCCGCACTCAAAACCATCACCCCCCACTGCATATTCCGGTAAACGAACCCATAACAATGGTCGTCGCTGGAAATCTATCCTCAAGCACCACATATGTGGTGCTACGGCCACCATCCTAGCTATTATAACTGGGACTGTCCCACATCGGATTCGGATGAGAATTGAAATGTGTATAAATTGGTGGGTATGTAATACTATTCAACAACTTGAGTTTTTGGGTTAATGGACAAGCGTCTACCCGTTATAGTTGATATCAGAATTAGACCCAATTCTTAATCCGATATCACGCTAAGCGCTTTGCTCGGAGGCGTCCGGATCATTTTCCCGGGAGAATGTTACAAATGAAACTTGTCCCACATCGGATCCGGATGGAAATTGAAATATGTATAAATGGGTAGGTATGCAGTACCACCAAAAAACTTGAACTTTTGAGTGAATGGGTAAACATTCACTTGTTACACTCGCCCCCTAAAGCCACGAACACCATCCCCCCATCCACTGTATTTAAGCTTAAAAACCATGCCAAAGATCTCACGTCTGACCACGGCGAGGTTTAGGTAGTGGTAACGTCAGCATGGCCACGACAAGATTCAAGCGGCGGAAGCAGCAATGTAGTTCAAAGCATTGACAATGGCAAGGTTTAGGGAAGCGGCGTCATTAAGAGAGTCGACTCGATCCGAAGTTGTTGAGGAGGAGGTCTCGGTAGAAGGAGGAGAGCCACCATCATTATCATCGTCCTCACTGTCTCCTCCTTTAATTTATGGCTATCTGGCCATTTGGGTTTCTTTGCAGGAACATATATGCAATTTTTAGCTTTCTCTCTCTCTATATATATATTTATATATTAGAGAGATAAAGTAATGGTTTGTTGAAATAACTAAGGGCAATTTTGTCTTTTAAGAAATTTAATATTTTTTTATTAAAATATATTAAATAAGTAAGGGTATAAATGACATTTATATTTTTTTTTTGGATGTGGGGTCTAAGTGAAAGTTAAAATCAAAATGTTTATCTAGGTGAGATTTGACCAAAGGTGAAGGCGTGTCATTGTAATTTACCTTTTATAAAATCGTAAAAGGGACATTTTGGGGAGAGCAATAATGTTTTTTGTTGTAATTTACCTTTTATAAAATCGTAAAAGGGACATTTTGGGGAGAGCAATAATGTGTTTTTGAAATTTTAACTTAAAGTAGTCATGTGCTTAAAGGTCATTTTTTTTTTTTTTCTTCTTAGTTGGTACTTACGCATGTATGCCTCCACCGATGTTCAAACTCCTTATCTCCCTTTGAAAAGTAAAAGCATGGTATTGTTAGGCCACTAATTCATTGATCTTAAAGGTCATTTTCTGACGGAATTAGTGACAACTTTCCAATCATGCCTAGAGATGGCAATTTGACCCGTTTGAGTGGTTACCCGCCCCACCACGCCCCGTTTTTAGCGGTTTTGGGGGATCGTTTTGTTTATTTGGGTGGGGATGGTTTGATGCAATAAAAACCCGCGCAGGTTTGGTGCGAGGGCGGGGGGAGGTCGCCCTGCCCTGCTCCGTTTAGATAGGCAAATTACTTAAGTACCCTTATTTCATTAACATATATATTTCCCACTATATATTAATGACCCCATATAACAATATTAAAGTAACAAATGAAATTTATTAAAAGGAAAGTTGCAATGGTAAATAATTGAAGATGAGAGGAAAAAAAAAAAAAAAAAAAAAGTAAATTCATTTCAACAATAATTAAATTATGGTCTTAAACGGGGCGGAGCAGGTACCAGCGGGGGTAAAAATATTAAACGATTACGGGGATAGGGTGGAAATTTTCCCCATTTTATGGTTTTGGGCGGAGATAAGGGCGGAATTTTTAAACGGTTGCGAAGGTAGAGAAGGATACACCAGCCCAAATCCGCCCCGTTGCCATCCCTAATCATGCCACTCAACCATTTGTCCTAAGTGTAAAAGGGACATTTTGGGGAGAGCAATAATGTGTTTTTGAAATTTTAACTTAAAGTAGTCATGTGCTTTAAAGGTCATTTTTTTTTTCTTTCTTAGTTGGTACTTACACATGTATGCCTCCACCGATGTTCAAACTCCTTATCTCCCTTTGAAAAGTAAAAGTATGGTATTGTTAGGCCACTAATTCATTGATCTTAAAGGTCATTTTCTGACGGAATTAGTGACAACTCTCCAATCATGCCTAGAGATGGCAATTTGACCCGTCTGAGCGGTTACCCGCCCCACCACGCCCCGTTTTTGGCGGTTTTGGAGGATCGTTTTGTTTATTTGGGTGGGTATGGTTTGATGCAATAAAAACCCGCGCGGGTTTGGTGCGAGGGCGGGGGGAGGTCGCCCTGCCCTGCTCCGTTTAGATAGGCAAATTACTTAAGTACCCTTATTTCATTAATATATATATTTCCCACTATATATTAATGACACCATATAATAATATTAAAGTAACAAATGAATTTTATTAGAAGGAAAGTTGCAATGGTAAATAATTGAAGATGAGGGGAAAAAAAAAAAGTAAATTCATTTCAACAATAATTAAATTATGGTCTTAAACAGGGCGGAGCGGGTACCAGCGGGGGTAAAAATATTAAACGGTTACGGGGATAGGGTGGAAATTTTCCCCATTTTATGGTTTTGGGCGGAGATAGGGGCAGAATTTTTAAACGGTTGCGAAGGTAAAGAAAGATACACCAGCCCAACTCCGCCCCATTGTCATCCCTAATCATGCCACTCAACCATTTGTCATAAGTTAAGTCAGACCTTAGCCGCGACAAGTCTTCATAGGATGAGTCATTCCTGTAACCCCACCTGGCATAATATACCATTCTTTGCTACATTTTACATGCTGAATGAACTTGTATACGAAAATAAAGGATATGAGTGTTTTTTTTTTTTTTGCTCAAAATGTAAATACAAGAGGTATTTTTTTCACTTTACACTTAAAATTATGTTGAAAATATCTGTTAATAAAATTAATTTAAAAAAGAAAAATTGATTTTAAGTTTTTTTATTATTATTATTATTTTTTAATATAAGAAAAATTTAAAACTTACACACCATTAAAATGAAAACCTAAAATCTAATCGCAATTTAACAAAACTTTAATGGTGCATAATTTTTAAACATTATAACATTATTTTAGTGGTTCGTAATTTTTAAAATTTTCTTAAATTTTTAATTTTTTTAAAACAAAGAAAAAGAATCTTCTATTTTTTTAAAAAAATTACATTAAAATGCATTTTCTCCATCATAACACTACTTTAATCGTAATTATAATTGGACAATGATTCTTACAACATCTTCCAAATATAACTATAACAAATTGCATTAATTATAAACAATAAAATTCTCAATTAGAACCCTAAAACACTGAAAACAGGGGATTTCAAACACACAACATTTTGAGATAAAAAAACTTAAACATTTAAAAATGCTCTGTTCGTTTGTGAGAAAATAAAAAAAATGCGACAGTTCGGCTAATCCCTCAATGAGCTTGTGCTGTTAGCAACACAACAGTAAACAGAGTCTCACAATCTTTTTTTGGACTCCACATTCCTTCCAAATCTTTTATGATTCAAGCAAGAGTTAACATTCACTAGCAAATTTGTCAAAACACAAGCTTATAAAAACAAAATCATCTTATTAGTATCATTTTGATCGGCTTTAAAAAACAAAAAAAAAAACCAAAATTGGACCGGCTCTATTCACTGAACATTGAAAGAGCTTGATTCACAACTGTAAAACCTCCATCAACGACCAAATTGTGGCCACTCACATACTTGGACTCATCACTTGCCAAATACAGAACTGCTTCGGCTACATCCTCCGGCTTGAGAGGTATCCCTTTGAGATTTTTAAAAATCTGTTTGAATAACTCATCAGGAATGATCTTCATTGCCAATTCGGTTCGAACAACATAAGGCGACACACAATTAACACGAATGCCATGCTTTCCTAGCTCCACCGCGGTGTTCCTGGTGAGGCCGAGCAACGCATGCTTGGAACATGTATAATCGTGTGAAGCAACCCCTCCAATTACTGAGCAAACACTAGCCATGTTGATTATGGTACCGTGTCCGGCTGGTATCATCACCCGAGCTGCATGTTTGGTGCCCAAAAATGAACCTACCACGTTTGTATGAAGGATTTTCTCAAAATCAGCCTTTTCGTTGTCAAGAATGCAGGGTTTTAAACTTCCTGTGGTGACGAGGCCTGCATTGTTGAACATTATGTCAAGCTTGCCGTGCTTGGCAACGGACTTGTCAATGGCATTTTGGACATCTGTTTCGTTTGTGATGTCACAGTGGACGAAGGAAGCATGAGCGGGACCTAAGTCATTGCAAACGGAATGGCCAAGATCATCTTGGATGTCGGCGATCATGACTTTGGCGCCTTGTTGACAGAATAACTTGGCTGTGGAGGCTCCAATGCCGCCAGACCCGCCTGTGATCAGAGCCACCTTTCCTTCCAATCTAGTTTTCAAAATTCATGACAGAGAATGCATTAGGAGGTCAAAAAAGTTACATAGTTGAACAACTGGGGTTCTTAGTCAAGTAGATTAACTGTGAAATAAAGTATACCTCTCCAATTCTGTACCAAGCAATATATTATAATTTTAGCGGTAGAAAAAAAGAAACGTGTGATAAATATATACATGTATATAAATTTCAATGCTTTTTATGACAAAATTGGAGGAGCTGATGAACATACCTTCTTGCAACATTTGATAATAGACTCGCCATAGTTAGAGACTTTGTAGAAGTGGAAAAACAATGCCACCGGACTTCACCAATCTATGATCTAAGAAAATATTAAGCCAACTTGTAATATTAGGCAATGTCACAGGTACCTTTAAGCAATCTTTGATTTTAATAAGGAAATATTAATCAATTATTAATTTATAAGCATCACAAAGTTTAGACACAAAGTTTAAATATAATTACTTTTACCGGGAAAAAAACAAAGTAAAAAAAAAAAAATTACCACTTTCTTGACCTGAGTTTCTCTTGTTTTTCAAGGGTACTTTGCACTCATTTATGAGGTGCAGGATTACTATAGAGCACCCAATAAAGAAACTTTTTCTTTTTTTTTTTTCCAAAAAAATAATAATAATAGGAGAAACATATGTGCTATACTCTTCTACTACAAAGAATTAAAGGGCATACCTTACTTGCAACAGCAGAAAGCAGTGGAAAAGATGGAGGACGCTTCAACAACAGCACACAATTTATAGCAGTAGTGTTGAGAAAACCAAGTCCCAAGTACTAGTCCTTTTTGTCACCTAAATTAGTAGAAGTCAGTCTTTCCACGGCAATGAAATTTCTATCCTGTCACTATTCATTAACGCACAAGTGACACATTGACCCAATAATATATTATTGTTGACCACAACATACACCTTACTGTTGAATGCACATTCAATGCTTATACGCTTCACAATATATATTATATAGAATGTTAGGCGGCTTTCTTTCTTCAAAGTAATACGACATGGCACATTAGAAAACGCTTAAAGAGATTGACTACAGAGTCTCACCAACTCTTGAGACTCCGCATTCCTTGCACATATTTGACTGTTCAACCAAGACTGACTGACGTCGTATTAAGTATTCCAGTAGCAAATTTGTCAGACCAAACTCTTATCTTATTGTCAACTTGATCAACTAAAAACAGAGCACCATTTCTTATTCATTGAATCAACCCTCTAAACAATTAAAAATTAAAAAATTAATTTCTGATAGAAAATTAAATATAGTTTTCATAGTGGAGACCAAAGTGTTACTTTCAAATGTGGCAGCCATTCACAAGAATATTGCTCTACAGTGGTCTATTTCTCACAATTATCATTTTTCAGACTTAGGTCGAATTTGGATACTTTGGAATCCTAACATTCTTAACCTGTCAATTATTCACTGCAGCAGACAAATAATGCATTGCTCAATATCATTGATTGGTTTAAATCTGTCATTTTTCACTTCTTTTATCTATGCTTCCAACTGTGCCATTGAAAGACAAGTTCTTTGGGATGATATCACTCACCACTCAACAATCTTTGCTTCTATCCCTTGACTGTTAATGGGGGATTTTAATGTCATCCCCAACATTGGAGAAAAGCATGGTGGTTTAATGAAAGCAAGCTCTGCAATAACTGATTTCAAGGACTGTCTCCAAAATGCTAACTTGGAGGACCTTAAGTTCTGTGGGATTTTATACTCTTGGTCAAATAAAAGCATGGGTGATGCTTGTATAGCTAAGAAGCTTGATAGGGCCTTGGTTAACCAAAGCTGGACAAACTCCTTCCTAATTTCAGAGTGCAACTTCCTCACCCCAGGCATTTCAGACCATAATCCTATCTTGGTTACACTTGACATCAACAAACCCCAAAGGCATATTCCCTTCAAGTTCTTCAATGCATGGAATTCACAAGCTTTTCTTATCCTCAATTCAAGGGGTCTAAGCTCACACATCAAAGGAACTGCAATGTTCCAAGTTGTTCAGAAGCTTAAACAACTGAAAACAGTATTAAGAACCACATGTGGTAAAGAATTTTCAGAGTTGGACTCCAAAATCCATGCCATACAACTTGAGTTACAATCCTGTCAATTGGATCTTGACCTCTCTCCTAGTGATCCCACTCTAAGAGAAATGGAAAGAACCTTCACTACTGAATTTTTGAGGCTGGGAACTATCCAAGAAGATATTTTGAGGCAAAAGTCTAGAATGGCTTGGCTTAAATTGGGGGACTGTAACTCAACCTATTTCCATAGGCCAGTTACTTCAAGGAACAATAGGAAGAAGATTGTTTCCTTGATACTTGATGATGGACAAGTCATTCAGGATTATGAAGGCATTAAAATCCAAGTGGTTAACCATTTTCAAGCTTTGCTTGGCCAATCCCCACCCCCTACACACCACATTACTGATTTAGCACCATTCATCACAAAGGTTGTCCTATCAAGCTTTCACTCCTTCTTTGAAGACATGACAAGCAACCTGGAGATCCAAAGCTGTATGTGAATCTAAACAAGGACAGAGGCCTAGGTTCAGATGGCTACAATGCTTCATTCTTCAAAAGTTCTTGGAATATAGTTGGAAGGTCTGTTACCAAGGCAATTTCAGAATTCTTCAGAAATGGAAAGCTCCTAGCAGAGGTTAACAACACTTATATTACCTTGGTACCCAAATGTCAGAATCTAGCCTCACTTCATGACTACAGGCCAATCTCTTGTGTTTATACCATATATAAGTGTATTTCTACACTGCTTGCAACCAGGCTTCAATCCACACTACCTGCACTCATTGATCAAGCCCAATTTGCCTTTATCCATGGCAGAAAGATTACAGACCCTATTCTCTTAGCCCATAAGCTGCTCAAAGGGTATCACAAACATGGAACTCTTGCAAGGTGTGCCTTCAAAGTGGACCTTAAGAAGGCCTTTGATTAATTGAAGTGGGACTTCATTATCAGTTGTCTTACATTACACAAATTCCCCCCCCCCTCCAAGTTCATTGCACTGATCAAAACTTGTATCTCATCCCCCTCATTTACCATTGCCTTGAATGGTGAGTTCCAAGGATACTTCAAAGGGAAGAGGGCCCCAGACAAAGAGATCCAATCTCTCATTTCTTCTTTGTTATTGTCATGAAGGCCTGTTCTTCTATTGTAAACAATTATGTGGATAGAGTTTCATCCTTGAAGTATCATTGGAGTTGCAAGGAACAAAAAATCACTCATTTATTATATGCTAATGATCTACTACTATTTTGCCATGGAGATATCTGCTTAGTTTCAGTCCTAAAGTCTACTTTAGATCTTTTCAGCTCAATGTCTAGCCTTGAAATCAACCTATCCAAAAGTGCAGCATACTTCTTAGGTATAAATGACCACACTCAGAACAAAATCTCCTCTCTAGTTGGTATTCAAGCAGTTACACTCCCAGTGAGATACTTAGGAGTGCCTCTCATATCCACCAACCTTAAAGATGAGCATTACAGCTTGCTGGTAAATAAGATCACTCATAGAGTATCTAACTGGACATCAAGATCCCTCTCCTATGCAGGTAGATTACAATTAATCAAATCAGTCCTTGGTGTTGTCGCGTCACCAACGTCTAAAAAATGTGCTAAAAATGTGAGTGTGCAATATGGCCAAGTTTTAAATTTATAAATGCCACTACTACCTTTAACTAAAAATATAGCTAGGGTGAGTAGGGATCGTCCCAAGGGATAGTGGGAGAGTTTGCAATGGAAACAATATATATGATTAATAGGTCGAGTGATCAAAAGATGGTTTTGTTTGGTTGATTAAACTACAATGCAATTGAAATTAAAGTAAGTAAAAGGTAACAATTTAGAAAGTAGGGAAAAAGATATAGAGGAGAGGAGAGGACTTGGAGTACTAGAGTTCACCACTAAACTTGACTTCACTAGACAATAGCAATTGTATATTAATGGGGAAATTAAATTGTAACTTATGTGTGTGTGTGACATTAATTGAAACTAAGCATGGATGACAAATAAGTATAGATTGTCTAGCCAACTCAATGGAAATGACAACCTATCAAATGAGACCAAAATCCATTTAATGAAACCATAATTTATGCACACACAACTATCTAGAAGCATACACCATTTGCATTCATAAGTATGGAACACCAAGGAACAAGAATAGATTGTCCACCTATCTATGAATCTAAAGCAACTACACTACATCTACACTAAAGACATGAAAATTAAACTAAGTAAGCTAAAGGTATGGCACAATCCCTCAAGAAACAAGTGTGAACCATCAAATAAATTACAAGAGTGTTCAATTAAACACACAGTTTTGATCATCACTAGATTAACTTCATCCATACACATAGACATGCATAAATTCCATTAAATTTAGAGAAAAACACATAAATCATCCATTCTAGCATACATAGACATATGGTTAGAAATAAACAATCAATTGAAAGCATTAATCTATACACATCAAGTAGAAACCATAAGATATATATATAAATCCAAGATCAAAACATTTATTACAAGCAAATCCCCAAAAATATACAAAGCACTAGGTCTAGGAAATAAACTTAGGGGCTACTCTAGCCCCAAGTAGATGTCTAGCCATTCATTGAAGTAGTTATCCAACCCTCAAGGGCTCTCTCCATGGTAGGAATGGCCTCCTTCTTAATGGAAACCCTAGAAGAATAGAAGAACTCCCAAAGATGTGTAAAAGCTCTCTAGTCTCTAGCCTCCTCTCCAAGATATGAGATGTGTAAGTTATGATGAATGTTGAATGTTAAAAACGGCTCAAAATCCTTATATAGGTAGCTCAAGTGTCACACCCAATGGTCTGGACTCGTACACTAGGGCCCTTATAATGATTGCACCACGAGCCAACTTTTAATGAGCTGGACTTTGTTTTATTTCGGACTTGGGGAAGTTCGATCGATAGAACTGTGTTGAGATCAATCGAACATTGATGAGATCCATCGAATGCTGCAGAGATCGATCATCCTTGGCGGCACCTTTTTGAATAAAGACAAATCTCTGAGATATTTTGGGAAAAAGACAAGAGTGGTAGGTGGGGTGGTAGGTGAGGATAAGATCAAACAATTTCAATCGATCTGAGGAAAGTTGGATCGATCGAAGGTGGTGAAATCTTTTGGATAAGGACAAAGGCTTGGATCCATCTTGAAATGTCTAGATCGATCACATCCAGATCTATCGAAGAATTGTTAAGATAGATCAAACTTGCTATTTTTCTACACTTTGCTTCCATTTTGCTCATTTCTTCCATTCAGCTTGAGATTACTTCTTTTAAGCTCTTATTTGGCTGAATTAACTTATTTTTGGGATAAGTGCCTGAAAGGGTAATAACACGAAATTAGTCTAAGACAGGAAAATAAGATAGATAAAGATCTTAGAATACCTAAGCTTAAGGGGTTTAAATGCGCACTTTTCAGCGCTCATCACACCCCCAAACTTAAATATTGCTAGTCTCTAGCATTGAACTACGAAGTAAAGGAATGAAATGAACAACTATACAACTATGAACTAGAAAATAATAAATGGATAACACCACTTTCGTAGGGAACACGATTGCATTTAGCATATGCAACAAGCCTTTTAAACCCCTAGGTTACCCCTAGTGGACGAGTGAAGTCTCGTGAGGGTTTCCAGAAATGATATCCACAAACATTAAGCTTATTCTCACTAAAGAGGCACCAATATTGCAAACAAACATTGGGAGAAAACT